TATTTGTTGTACTACATCAACTACAAATTCTTTATTTCCCAAATCATTCTTTAATCCAACCCTTAATAATTGTTCTGAATTGTAACTGCCACGTATACCTCCAATTAATATCTTCGTCATTAATCTCTCTGGAAGCCAATTTGTATCACCAGCTAGTACTTATTCTGGTGTCTGTCAACATTTTTATGGTTTTAATTCTTGGTTGGGAGCACACTGAAAAATCTTTGAAATAAAATATTCAGAACTTCCATTGGTCTTACTTGTTTTTATCAATAATCAAGGAAGAATTGTCTTGACTTTATTGTCCCTTTCTAACGGAACAGGCTCCACTTGCACTACTGTTACAGTTTCAATACAGATTTCCCTTCTTGATACACCCTTTCCTGATGATTCCTTAGGCATTCCTACTATTACAACCAGTCTCCGAATTAATTTCCAACAACTGGCTTTTGTATGTCTAGTCTAATTAGAATGGAAGCATGTAATTTTCTTTACATCATTTCTTGGTTCTAACTTTTCTCCTTTATGATTTTGGACATCATTCTGTATGCTCCCTAACACTCATATCTATTCCATCCCATATTTTCTATTCTTCCAATTTCCTTCATGATTCCCCTGTATTTCCCCACATGCGTAAGATATCATAGGTATCTGCCAGAACTCCATCTTTGTTGCTCATTTAAAGAAGTTGAGGTTTACTAAAATTCCATTTCAGCATTCTAACATAACCACAATCACCCTCGAGTTCCTTTTCCTCTTTAACTATGTGACCAAAACCATTGATCCATAGCATTTCTTTTTCTCTTGCAAATTCTACAAATGGTTGATTAGGTCTCTTTTAAAAGTCCTAAATCTTAATAAATAACCCTCAGGGGCAGCTTCATAAGCATTATTATTATTTTAACAGCTCCACAGTCTAGATTGCTCTTCTGACAAAATAATGCACACACTTTAAGCTGTGCCTATCAAAACACTAAGGTTCAAACATCCTTTGACAAGTTATCTTCCCAGCTACCATTTCAAGTGGGGCAAAATATCTTTCAACTCTATCCTCTAAATTTAAGCACTAAGTGTAGATTTCAAGTTAAACCAAATTCCTGATTGGAATTAGGATCATCCTGAGCTATGGCATTTTTCTTCCTTTAGTCTAAGCTTTTCTCTAGCCAAAGTGTCTGATTTCTTTATCTCTCTGAAGAACACGCTTTTTACATTTCACTTGTTTCTTTCTCATTTTTTTTAACTCAAGTTTTATTTCCAGTTCCTTTTTCTTTCTCCTCCCTTTCCATTGCTCTCCACATCTCTAGTTTCTCCCCTCAAGTTTTGCTTTCATTCCTAACTGAATCTTACCTAATTCTAGCAGTGACATATCATTTCCAGATTTTCCTCCTTTTAATTCTAAATGCTTTTAATCACTTTAAGCATCGCTTCCTTACAAGTTCCTGCTTCTATTTCTACCTGAAATTCTTTCGCAAATTCAATTCTGCTTTAATCAAAAGGTTTGACATAATCTATTTGTGTATTCCAGTTGCAGAAAAGTCTTAGCAACACAAAGTCATTCTGACAGTCCAATCAGACACTAAATAAATTTGAAGAAATTGGCAGATCTTTAATTAGTAATGGATTAAAAGGTTATGGAGAGTAGACAGGCCAGTACAGCCGAAGCCAAAATGAGATCAGCCAGAACCATACTAAATGGCAAAGGATGTCTGAGGGGCTGAATTGCTTAGCCTGGTTCTTGTATTTTTATACCACAACACTCCTGTTTTATGCCCATTACCAATACATACTTCTTTAAAGATTTGTCACATCTCATTTAAATTCAACAAATTCCTATCCCGCCAAGAGGCCTTTGGTACGATCCTAGCACATATTAATACTGGGCTAGTCAGATACTAAAATGAAACCTGGCTTGATAATTCATAACATTTGCTTTTACATTTGGTTTCCTGTGGTGGTTATACACTGTACTCAAGGCTGCCAAAGTACTTTTAAGACAAGAACATGAGTTTATTACATAAAAGTAAAAAAAAGCTATGTATATGCTGGCCAGTTTGAAAGGACCCAAGCATAAACAGCAAAACCAAATATTGACCTTTTCTTCAGCGATAACCTTTCCAGATGCTGAATCCCAGTGAAGTGTTACACCTGTCTTAACTCCTTACTCAACTCTTTGCAGCTCTCCTCCTCGCGGAAATAGTTTTATGACCTCTTTTCAGTTCAGATGGCCTAAACATCTTATCGGTTCTGACTGCTTGAAATCTTCTAAACAGGCTTCACAAACTAACCTGCTCTTTTGCCAGGATAAAACTGTTATCTGAACAGAAAGGCTTATTCTCTTGCTAGGATGAAACTGAAGCCAGATTCTTCTGGACTGAACACAAGCTAAACCATCAATGGTTCTTGATGAGTTTGCCTTATGTCATAAATTCAGCAATGCAAACACTCTAATGAACAGCACAGATATCTGGCTAGACACTAGTAAATCACATACTTTCTTGGAAATTATATATTCAGGTCACTTTTCCAGATTACTCTTTAAAGAGTTACTTTGATAGAACTGAAACCAAAACCCATCTGTATCTATTTTAAAAATCCAAATTCCCTAATGATACCATTATATATTATTCATCTTTATTACATTTGTTTCTGCTAGACTGCAAATGACAGTTGGTCATGTGATTTCACCCTGATTTGTCTCATAAGGCATTGTGGTGGTGTCCCTACTCTGGGCCAGAAGGCCTAGGTTCAAGATCTACCAGCACCAGGCAAGTATCAAAACACCATCTCTGAACAGATAGACTAAAGTAACTTTAACAGGAGCAATATCATGATATCATATTCAAGATTGGCTTCCACAGATAGTCTGCTAACATGAAAAAGAGGCAGTGAAGAAGTTGGTCAGTATATTGAAAATGGTCTACGACATAAGTTGTTGGCACAGAAGACAAACAACACAAGTGAGCCAATATAAGGGGAAACTAATAAATCATCCTGCTGTGTCAAAATCTATTCAAGCAGGATAGTGGATGCATCAATAGCAATATGAACATACAAGGGCAGGCAACTAGCAATGTTCTATCTAAACGATCTCACAAACACAATATCTACTGCATCACAATATGTACAATCGATCCACCCCAAAAGCGATCTCACAACAGAAATGAAGAAACTAATATTGCCAGGTAAATCAGGGAAGAATAAATCTGCAAAACTCCTCTCCTACCATTTTAGGCAAATGAAACTCCCGCTCTGATCAATGATATGTACAAAAGGTAGAGGTAAAGTTGCCTCATTCTTACCAGAGCATGGTGTTGCTATCTCATTAGAGTCGACTGGTGGTGGTTTCATCTGAGGGTCACCATACCTCAGGTGAGAGGAAAGTTTGAGAAGGAAAGTCCTTCATGGTAACCTCAGTGTAGGAATTCAATCCATGTTGTTGAAGTCACGCTATCACAAACTAGCCATTCAGCTAACTAGTTCTGGCCAAGTATAATTTGAAACCATGATCCCTAGACCTCTAATATATTTAGTTCAAACTCAATTTTCCCCCATTTCATCATAAATAAACAATTAATTTTGTTCCTAGGCATTTTCTTCCAAGTGTCAAACTTGTTTGTTGTAACAAATGTTACAGAATTGGAACAGGTTACTGTTTCAAGGCTTGACAAAATTTTTAATTTTCCAGGCTTATAATCAATTGTTCAGGCAATTCTGTTATTTAAAATATCAAAAATTAAATGTTGCTTTGAAAACCTAAATAACAATTAGAAAAATTGACTAAACTGAATTCCTGAAATTAAATCAAAAAATTTAGAGATCAAAAATTTAAATATCAACTTGAAAATATCTTTTCACACGCCAGCCTCAAAGGAAATATCAATCATATTTACATTTGACTCAGCAGTTGCCAATCTTCGTGTTCCCCACCTTTGATACCAAATTATGTCCTTAAGTTCACAAGATAATGTTAGATGATGGAAGCTATTTGGCTTACTGGATTCATCCATGGTAGTGCTACACTTCCAGTGTAGCACCCAAATATTATAAATAATTTGTACACAGTGCATCTTTGGGTGCTAATGAAAAAAATTAAAGCTGATTAAGGTGCCTAATTCTTCTCTATTCTTTCAATTTTCTGCTATAGGATTCAACTGGAAGATGACCCATGATAGGTGAGTGCACCCTTTGGTGAACAATGTATACCTGCAGTGCAAAACCCAAACACTGTCAAACTGGTACAGATTGGCAGTGTTTCAGCATAGCTATTGGTTTATGAACGTTTCCCATCTCAACTAGCCAAGGACGTGTGTGCAATTGATTTACCTTAGTATGTGCCAAAACACCATTATGCACGAGTTTCCTTAATGTGATTGTGCCTGAAATGTGTCTGCTGAGAGGGTCTTGTTGCTCACGTGTAGCTGTTTATAAAGGGTAAACTGCAGATTATAAAAATGCTGTAGATTTATGCCAAAAAATTTACGATCAGCACAGCCTTAGGTTACCTAATGTTAATTTAGCTGCTTTTGAAGTGGTATTCTTTGCGGTTTGAAAAGGAAAATTCTGAATAAGACTTGCATTAAAGTGTTATTAGTGTGACCTGTCAACATGTTCACAAGGACTATGCACCAAAAATGGACTTAATGCTGGTCTGCATAGTAATGGAGTAGCAGCTGAGGAGGTATGTATTTATCGGAGAATAATGAAACATTGCAGCTGTAGGATCCCAATACATTTCTCAATATGTTAATGCTGACATAACCTAGAGGCAAATATATTGATATAAAGTGAAATCACTTCTTTCAGTCCATTTTAAATTCTGGGAAATTTCTCAACTTTGTAATTGGAATGTGAACTGCTGAACAAGTCAGTTTAAAAAAAAGGGAACAATTTCATCTAGTATAAAGGGTCACAGATTGAAACAATAAACCTTTCCAAAATTAGTGCATCATCCATAACATGAAGACAGATAACACCTGAGAAATAAAAGTGACATTTTCGCATACATTCAAGTCAGCCTCCTGGGTACCTTTACCCCACAAGTCCAGTTTATTTCTGATATGACTACTGATCAACACCTTGACATTAGCTGCAATGGTGGAACCCAAACAGCACGCTATCAGCATGAACCATATTACTAGTGTACAAATACACAAAACATCATCGCACAAAAGTTTAAAGTCACATCACGCAGTATGAAGAGGATACAAATTTGAACAAGGACAATTACCCTACAGCTGGAATGGCAGTGTATTGAGCACAGCCTCTTCACACACTAGGCAATTCACCATGTCATGATATTACATTACATTCATAGATTTTGAGAGAAATCAACATAGTAAATATCTGAATCTTGTATTTAGAGCTCATCATCAATGGAATAATGAATTTAGATATAGTAGGATTATACAATAGACTTTAGTGTTAATGGGTCAATATACTCAAGATTTTGAGTATAAAATAAATACCCTTCACAATAATGCAACTTCTTCAGTGACACCAGGGTGTCACATATATAATTTCTGTCCATTATCAGTGCATCTAGGCTCCCGAATAAACACAACTGCAGCGACTTTCTGCCCGAGATGACCTCAAATTGCTCAATTCTTCAAAATTATTTCATATGCCTGGAAAACATGTTGGGATACCTCTGGGGCTCTGCATTTCAGCGATAACTGTAACAAAGGAAAGAGTCAATAACACATCAGTGTACGGTCAGAGTCACATGTTGGATTAGCTGTGATGAAAGAGCAGCTTGTCTGAAAATTTCACATGTACATTAGAAAAATTAAGCTTATCCATTTCTCTTCGGACATTAAATGCAACGTGTATTAATTATTTGAAAATATGGCCAGTGGAATATTATCTCCAAGAATTATAATCTTAATTTAATCTGATTTTTAAACATGCTTAATCTTTAACACTGCACTGGTTTGAAAAGAATACATTTGGTACTTTGTGAACTTAACATTAATCAAAACAGCAGGACACCGAGTATGAAGCCAATAGTGACGATAAATTGCTCTTTCATACCAGCAGACAAATGTAAAACAGCAGGTAATGAAACACAGCCTTTTCAAACAAAAGGCCCCATTGAATGGCAATGAAGGCAAAAACCACTCTATATCATTAAATTGTATGAATAATCTAGTCTGTACTCAGTAAATGTTATAGTCACAGGTTTTGAACCAGCACATGTAAGAAACAGATAGAAGGTACGTGAAAGGCACAACTTGCCATTTTAAGTAACAAATCCTTTTACTGTAAAAGGATTACAGTAAATATGTAATTTACTTTCATGATGGCTTTTTAACGGATATGCTATTGACTCCCATTAGGAACAAAGCAACAACTGCTAGTCATTGTACTCTGGACTTCACACAATAAACATGAGTGGTTTTCTAATTCAGCAAGCAGAAAAACATGTAAACTAAAAAGAATGAAGAAATTGAAGTAAATAATTAAGTTCATCCACACATCTATGAACACCTTATACGACACTGCTTTTGAATAAATATTATGAGGGGGCAGATGTACAATGGCACAAAATATTTTTCAACATTCTTACTTTTAGATGTTGGCTTCTGATTTATGACGTAGATCAGCGGAAATTAGTTGGTCTAACTATTTAAGTTATACATGTTACACAGCATCAACTTCAGCTGCTCACCTAGAGTAATGTCAATTTCCATCCCCCTTCCAATATTCATGTCAGTTAAATGTGCAGTGCTGGAAGCAAGTGTGTTGCATTAAAAAGAAGCAGGGAATGATCATTTGGCCAAAACAAAACTATCCATGATGCCAGACAAAACGCAAACTGTATTTTTAAAATACAATCTGTAGCCCTCTGTCCCCCTCAATCTGCAACTAATTTCAACTTAAGAAAAATAATCAGTTTTCATTAGAACACTGTAGAATTCTGACCAATTTTCTTTTTTAAGTTGCGACACTTGATTCGCAATAATGCACTTTAAAGCAGGTTAAAGCAAAAATAATGCCACAAATTTTCTGAAACTAGAGATCAATTGCTTAAAATAGTGTCAGCATCGTCTGAATCAATCAAATCCAGCATTATTTATAGTTCTAATCAACTACTTAATTAGGGAGCTTATGGTAAATTACTTATTTAGTCATCATGGGATAGTGAATCAGCAACACTGAAAATAGGCATCAGAAAAAAGCTAGCTAGTAAAGCATAGCAAAAAAGACACTGCATAAGCATAGGGCAAAGAATGGAATTGGCAAGTATTTGCAACTGACTAAAATTAAGTGAATTGCTAACCTCCAAATCCTGACCCGTTGGACAAAACCACCATGGCAGGCATGCAACAAAGGGAAAAAAAAGTAACTATAAAATACCACATTTTTCCCCCAACATAAATCAGAAAGAAAATATTCCTGATTAATATACAAACGGCGTGTAGGGACATAATGCAAAACATTAAGAACAGACACACAGGGAAGGCTACACAACAATGCATATTACAGAACAAGACTTCTGAAGTTGGACTAATACAAAGAATAATATTACATTGTTAAATTTAGTACTTAAAAACATTTGCTTCTAAACATTGGACAACTTAGAAGTATGGTTGGTGGTAAAACTGAATTGTAAGCAAGATGCAACTTGAATAAAATTCTCTGAATAAATTACAAAAGATAGGAGACATTTCCACTCTCTCATCTTATTCAAGTAGAAAATTAACAGGCATGCCTGTAAACCTGCCAATAAATACAGCAGGAACAATTCGCTTGTCAGTAGATTTCCAGATTTTGTATTGGCTTCTGTTAAAGTGAATGTTGGCAATAAATAAAGAGCTTATGTACAGTAAAAGCTTATTCTACACACCACATTACAAAATGGAAGGATATACATTCACCACCACCACTCCACATTCACAATACTTTGTATAAACACTGAATGATGCAAGAATTCCAAATATTTAAAAATAAAGTAAAAGCTTCAAAAGCATAAACGGAGATGCTGTTCAACACTTACCGTATAATTGGGATTGCCTGGTTGAATTCTAAGCTCTGCTAAAACCCAGATTCCATTTGTCAATTTAAGGGATTGATATAACATATCTTGTCCTTCAACATTCCTCTTTGCAACAGTGAAAATATTATTGCTTTGAAGCTTATTAGTGACTGCATCTGCAAGTTTAGAAAACAATTTTCAGCAATCGAGGAAGTATAAAATCTGGACAAATTCTACTATTGAAACTTGAGTAATTACATTAGCAGTATCCAGCATTATTATTTATTCCTGAAGAGCTCTGGGCCAACAGCACGCAGAATTATTTTTGAGACCTGTATTTATAATTCAAGAATGTGCATGCAGCCAATAGACACACATTACAAATTTAGTTTTCAGATTACTGAAAGTTCTAATGATGTAGCTGGATAAACCTGTACTTCGAATAGAAAAACATGGACAGCAAGACAACCAGTTTTCCTTTCAAACAACGCCCTGTACCCAATTTCATATACCAGGTTTGGCACCTGCATGGTCCCATGAACAGGACAGCTCGAGCCAAAGCACAATCATTTCAAATATGTTTGAA